ATATTAAAGCTATTTTGGGAATTTATTTTAAGAAGTTACCAAGTATACAGAAATATCAACATTTTCTTTTTGAAGCATCTAATCTTGGTACAGTAAAAGTTCAAGAAGTTGCTAATGGACCTTTTACTGAATTCAATTTATTGAAAATCAAGAAAGCAGATATTTTTGAAGAGATTAAAGCTTTATCTATTTTAGTGTTAACACCTCCTCCTTTGGACTATAAAAGACAAGAATACCTTTATAATAACATTCACCCATTTGTAAAGGATGAGTTTAAAGACATCACTTGTCCCAAGCCAGCATAAAATGTAATTGAATAATTTTTATACTAGATAAAAAAGGTTAGATGTCATAATTAACTTTTATTTTTCCTAATTTTAATTATTTTGATAACTAAAACAACTAGGGAGACAAATAGTATTCCACAACCAACCATTCAGTAAACTTTCTCTCTTTTATTCTTATTAAGTTGGTTTTCTAATTGAGTTCGGGGAGTTTTACCCCATTTTTGATAGTAGGCTTCCGGGTCTCTTATTTTTTCAGCCATTCTTTCATCTTCCATAGTACCTAGAAATTGATTGTCTTTTACAGGCCTGTAATGTCTTCAAAATTTTCTTGAATCTAGGAGCGAAGTATACTGAAAATTCAGATGAGGGATAATTTTTACTATAACTTGAAGGGCATTTCTGATTCTTTTATCAAAATTTCTGCAGCTCTTTGGTTAATTTCTCATCTTATTACGGCATCAGTAGTAAAATTTTCAGCAGATGCCATTTTTTGTATAAGTTCTTGACAAACTTCACCAATTTGATCTCAAGTTTCTTGATCTACAGCATTGATATCATTAGGTAAATGATTTTTGGTGAAGACAACTATACCTCCTATTTCATTGTGTAATCTTGCAGATACTTTGCTCTTTTCTGGAACAATATTATCTTCTGTTGGTTGAAAGATTGTATTTGCTTGTTCAGTGCCCTCCTGAGAAAAAGCTTTTCATGATACTCCTTAATTCCCCTGCTTCCATAAGCTTCTTTATATTTAGGAACAATTCGCATATAAAAATGGGGTGGGTTTTGGGAAGCAAGCGGCCCTATTGGTACACTTACTTTATAGCCTATTGGATTATATGCTTTATTGATTTTATTAATTGTATCTTTAAGTACTGGTAAAATATCTGCTCATTCTTCTCTAGTTATTTCTTTGAAGTTTTCAGCATGGTGCTTAGTACAAAGTGCCACATGACCTTTAGAATTTTGTCTTAAAACTACTCCAGAAGTTATGGTGCCTCCAAAATCAGAGATTCAAGTTTTAAGCATTCCTTTTTTATGTGTTACCATTTTGTCACACATATGACAAACTATTTCACCCTTTGCTGTGCTTTTGGGACAAATGTAACTGGGAGTGTTGTCATCTTTTCAGGAAAAATGCTTATCTTGTTCACCTCTTTTAATATCTTCTTGGAATTACGACATTGAGAACATTTATGTCCTCTACTGTCTTCATAAGCAGTAACATCTCAGTCCAATATGATCTTACACTGATTACAACATATGATAATTCTGTTTCATCTCCCATCCCCTTTTTGGTTAATAACTCTGTACTTAAAAGGTCAATCAAAATTTTCTTTATTTTTAACTTTAGTTAAGGTTTCTCGAAAGATCTTTTTCTTATTGCGTTCTCATTTTGCACATTCATCTAATTCTTTTTGAATTATGTTTTCAGAACAATCTCAACAACAGAATTCTTTATGTTCTCTATCTTCTTCATCTCATCAATTAATTTCTAATCCTTCTTTAGTTTGATTACAGTTAAAACATTCTTTTTTGGTCATGATTTTTTTATTTAAACTAACTTTTTTATAAAGTGTTTTACAAAAAAAAAAAAAAAAATCAGTGTTCAATCATGAAAGAGAACTCTTTAAATCATGGCTAGAATGGGACATTAGTATTGGTTTTAGAAATCTAGTTACTCATTGAGAAAATGCCAAAAAGGAAAAGATAAAATAGATAAAATAGATAATAAATTTGTTCCTATTATTTTTCTTCTAGAGATCTTGGCTTTTTGTTGGGTAATAATGCATCATCATGATGTTTTCTTTTTCTAATACTTATTATTTTTCTTTCTTCTTGGTAAATTTCATAGGTGATTTTTTCTTTCCTTAGATAAGCTTCCAGTGTCTGAGTATCATTCATTTTGAAAATGTAAGGAGCAATTTTTTCACCTTGTTCCTTTTTCAAAATACTTCTGATGGTGCTATAATTCTTGGGTTCCATAGTAGATCGGATGTAAATGAGTTTCATATTAACTATTTTATCTAGAGACAAAATGAAATATCGTGATCATATTACATTGTAATACAATTGTGATGTTAAACATTATTGATCCCTGAAATTTTTGGTAATACCAATGTTCACTTTGTCTGGTTTTGTTGCAGCATGCCCCATATAATATATATAATATATATAATATATAAATAATTTATTAATATATATTAGAAATCTTAAAATTTAATACATGTATCTGAATAATTTAAATATAATAAAAATCATACCTAAATTACCAAATAAAAAAGACCATACCTAAATCATTTCAACTTACTTGTTGAACCACTATTGCAGTCAACTTCAGAAGAGGTTCCCCATCATCCAGGTTTGGTTGTTCTAAATGATTCTTTCCTCAAAAATACATGGCAAAGATACAAACTATGAATTTTGCAAATCACTCATCATTTTCTTTTGCTTTCTCAGCATTTTGTTCTAATCCTATTATTCTAGCCACAAGTCCTGCTTCCTTAGCCAATAGTTCAGCTTTCTCCCTTTTCAGTTCAGTAATCTCGACTATAAGTTTAGAATTCTGTTCTTCTAGTAATCAATTTTGGATTGTGTATTTGCCATTACTCATCAGGTCACTTTTAAGAACATCAGCAAATTTTTTGTACATAAAATCTATATAAAGATTCTTCTGACAATTCCTTTCTTTTCAATGCCACATCGCGACTTTCTAGATCAATTATTTCAAAAAAAGACTCGAGTGTTGATTCTTCTTCTTCAGTAGATAATGAACTAACAAAATTAGCAATATTTGCATTTTCTCTTATAGGGAGTGAATTAACACCAGCATTTTTTTTCCTGTAGGCTGTGAATTTCTTTTGATATAATTTACGTTATTATTATTATTATGACGAAGTGGTGTTCTTCTTTTAGATGTATAAAAGATCTGCTGTTTATTTATTTTTACTTTCACGCTTAATAATGTCATCGTCACAATACAAGCTATCATTTATTGCAGGGAGAAATACTTTACGTTAACTCTTACGAATAATTGGCCATATTCTGGGTATCTTGAGGCCATAGAGCCTTATTTCAGTAACCGCGCTAAAATAAGCACATTGAAATCGACGTAGAAGAAGCGTTTTAATGACCATCTGAGAGATCTCGAAAAAGATAAAATTGATGAGAGACGTGAAGTTGCATCTGCTCTTATTAGGATGGTCAATAATTATTTTTAATTATTTTGAAAAAAAATTAGTTGCTAGTAATTCTTGCTAGTCTGTAGTTGTACCGCTGGGAGCAGGTAGCACGTCCTTGTTAACTCCTGGAGTTAGGTAGCGTTCCTCGGTGCATGCAGAGTGCTGGTTATACATTCATACCACTGGGAGCAGGTAACGTCCCTGTTAACTCCTGGAGTTAGGTCGCGTCCTTGGTATAATGTATGGCAAGCACCAACTTTAAAATTATAAACAAAGCGAAATTAACAAATAATTCATTTTTTTTATTTAAGGATTCAAATGCCCTGAATTCTGGACCAATTTGAAAAGAAATAAATATCAAAACGACAGCAAGTATCAATGATTGATGAATATGTTTCAATTATGAATTCATCTAATATTATTGTATATTATTAAACAGTATAATACAAATGTCGACATACAATTAAGTACCTTAAAAGTGATGAGCACTTCTGCTTCATATCAGGAGAATGAACTATCGAAACAAATGGAACTTTTAAGTGAAAATGATAAAAATCGGGTAAGGTATTTAATATTATTAATATACAATTTTTTAAAGGTAATTAACAATGTGTGTCTTCCACTTATAGAACATCCAAATGATCATTGTATTGAGCAAGAAAAACCAAAATTTTATAAAATTGATGAAACAGGTGATGAAGGAAAGATGAATGATTCGGTAGGTATATAGTTTTATACAATCCTTTGTGTACATATATATATATATAATCAATTAAATGAATTTTACAGAATGATAACGATCACGGTCAGGTTAAAAACCTCTTAAACGAATTACGTAGTTCAGAAAAAATGAAAATTTTAGTGGATTTTTTTCAAAAATATTGCAACGAATCCCAGAAATGAATTCAAACGAAATGAAAATATGGAACTTACTCCATCTTCAGAGTTTGTTCTAAAATATACAGACGAGGATGATTACATGCAAGTTCTAAAAGAGATCTTTAAGCCTGTCGATAAATTGTTTCCGGAAAGTGTGATTGAATTTCTTAATGAGTTTTTTTCAGAGGTATTGTTTCATATTATCCCGTGGTAATTTGTCTTTAGTTATTATATACTTCAAGTAAAATTTGTAATAAATTTTTTTTTTTTCGTTAATCAACATAAGTAAACTTTTTTTCTGGATTATATGTAATTTCCAAATCTTATTAGATGCAAAAGAAAGGTATTTTCCCAATATTTGTTTTTCGTGAATTGGCGGGATTAAAGGTTTTTCTTCTTTCCAATGTATGTGCCCATCATGTATCAATTTATTACATGCTGAACCATGCAATCACACAATTGTTTTTGAATTATAAGTTTTTGTTTTTTTTTTTTGAACACAGTTGGTGCCTAATATATTCAGTATAAATAGGGATATGTTTCTACTAAAATTGTTTGAAACGTTTATTGCATTTTTGTATAATCAATCGCATTTCTATAATTAGAATAATACATGTTAAAAGTGAAAGACTTTTATATCATCCATATATCAAAATTCTTATGGAGCGTGTAACTTGTCAACATATTAAAAAGGATGGTTCAATTTGTGTGAATATTTGTACTCGTTTATCAGGTTGTTCTAAACATTGGAATTCATATGAAAAAATTTTGAAAAAAGCTCCTTGTAGAATCTGCAATATACTTACATTATCTTTCTTGTACAGGGTATTGTGCAAATCATGTCATTTTAACAAATGGTACGAAAAACAAAAGATAAATTTGGTATAAACATGAGAGAGGGCACAATCTGGTTTAATTTCAATCTAAATTTTTATAATTTCTCTTTAGAAGGATGCAAAAATCCCCCTATTAAAGATTTGTTAAAAATTTATTATCTATAGTATGATAGATATGATTTCTTGCGCCTTCTAATATGTCCATTGTTTTTAGATTACCATAACATACCATTTTCCTGAAGTATGGTAGTTGTTTTTTCCATTTCTCGTCAGTATCAAGCCACGAGGTTGTGACTCCATCATCCTCGAGTCCACGACGGGATAATTTCTTCTCCTATTAACCTCTCACGTACTGTCATATCCATATGTTCTTTGGGATCTTCCTCTCCCTCTAATGCGTATATACACATACTTATATCTGTTTTCATTCTATCTCTAAATGGAATGGGAATCGAGTTTATCAGTATTAATGCTGTAATATATATATATATGCATAATAATGAAGGTTGGATGATCTCGTTAGTAAGGATCCATATACTCACGTGATGCTGCTGTCTATTTATGTTAGGGATCCTTGCAATTAGCCAATGAGATGTTGAAAATTTTAGGGTAACCTATCTATGTAGTTTCCGGGGTCCTAAATTGGGTCATGGTTAGCTGGTTCCTAGAGATCGACAGCTTCGAATGGGATTAGCAATCTTCACCTTGGTTTGCAGTACGCCCTATTTTTGTTAATGTTTTGAATAATTCAAGTACGTTTTATATTAAAAAAAAAAATAGAAATTAAGTATCTAAACTTTTTGTAGGGCATGCAAAACTCTTTACCCTTAGAACAACAATCTGTACTTGAGGCTACTTCGAATATGGATAGACTTACACAATTACAAGATGCAATAGATCAAGTTTGTATAGTTATTTTTTCAGAGAATTTTGAGAATTGATAAAATTTTTATATAAAATTTTTATAAAGTTGGCTCAATTATTTCATACCAGTATTGTTCATTTAAATCAACGTAAGTGATAATATGTAAGTAACAATAATTATGATTTGAAATTGTTATTATATTTTGTTTATTTAATCAATCAATCAACTTTTATTGGAATTATTATAGCACAAAACCATGACGCACCAAAGCTTAAAGGTACTTGCTTAATAATAATAACAATAACAATAACAAATTGATGATGATTTCAAATTAACATAATAATAATAATAATATTTTAGAGGATAGAGAATTAATTGTTCAAGATCTTTGTAAAAAAGCAAAAGAAATTGATACATTAATAGAAAATTTACCTGGTATAAAATATAGTGAAAAAGAACAGGTATAAAATATATATTATTACTATATCAACATTTTTTTAAAAATATACTATGTTTCAATATATTATATATGCATTCAATTTTTTGTTTTTTTAGACTGATATTATTAAATCATTAGAAGAAGAGTTACAAGAAGCAAATAGGGAATATTTAAAAATGGTTCAAAATGCTGGTTGGTAACTTTTAATTTTAAAAGATACTTGTTATATTAATGTTATTATTATTCTATTGTGTACATATTAAAAAAATTATTTACTAATTGTTCCTTTTGATTAAATTAAAGGATCATTATTAAAAAAAATTAATGATACAATAAACATAATTGCTAAAGATCAAAGTTTAGCAAAAGATTTGGAATAATTAATTATCTTGATTATAAATTTTTTTAAATGATTTGGTGAATTATATTTAAAGATTTATTTATTATCATTCCTCTTGCATAACTTCAAGAATTTCCAATTCTTCGTCACTTCCTCTATCATTATCATTACTACAAATATTACTTCTATTATTTCCATCACCACTGCCACCACTAACATTAACCTCAACATATTCATCATCAACATTTAATTTCCTTGCTACTCTATCGTCATCCATCACCCACAATAAAGCTGCACCACACACTAAAATTGTAAACAACATCCAATTTGATAATTCCATTGTAAATATTTTATCATTATTCTCTGCAATGTCCATCAATGCTACCAATAATATTCCCCATATTTGTGCTGATGTATTTAATATGCTTGTGCTAGCTATTTCATCCTCACCTTCTCTCATAGATGTGGCAAGTGTCGCATATCGAAATATTGCAGAAGGTATTGCTAAAAGGTAGATTTGTGTGCATATATTTATGTACATAATTTTTTACATTGTTGATTCTTCTTGGATAAAAAAAAAATCATAATTCATTAATTAATTTTGTTTAACAACTTACCAAAAGAAAATATTCCAAAACATATGCTTTTTTTAAAAAAAAAATTAAAATAATTTAGTAATTTTCCTAAAATAAAAAAAATTTTTTTTATCAAATATCACAAAAAAAATAAAATAATATTTACCTTGATAAAAATGCTAAACTTAATATTTCATTTTTTAAAGAAATATTAAATATACCAAGGGCAATTATTGTACCAATGTATAAAACATGACATGAACGTTTGTATGCAAATGAATGATCAAGATATATGCCAATAACAAACGATCCAACTACACCTGCTACTACTATTGAAAATCCTAATATACCTATTTTTGTCTAAATTATAATAGTGCAACAAATTAATTTTTTTGATTTTAAAATACCTTCTAAATGAATGATTTATTATATATATACCTCATCATAAATCTCAAATACAGGCATTATCATTTGTGCTAATAAAGTACTTAAAGCATATTGTGCTCCAATTATAATTCCAAAAGATGTTGTTAAAAATATAAATGGTTTATCTGCAAAATATGAAATAAACACTGTCAATGATACAACCGACTTACTATCATATCATGTATATGATTATATGTGTTAATAAAATTATATGTAAATAAATATTAATAAAATCAATAATAATCGTTAATTAACAAACCTGTTGGATGATGAATGTGAAGGTGAAGATCTAAAAACCAAGACCAAAAATAGATATATAAAAGTACATACACCACATTGTATTAAAAGATATTTTGGAATATCATATTGTGCCGTTTCCTCTTTAATCATAAATGGAGACAACAAAAATCTAAAAAATATAAGAAAGAAAGAAATAAAAATAGAAATAGTATAGTGTTTTAACAAATTAAGAAACTATATATTATCTCATCGTAAGTATTATTTACCTTTCGTTATCTAGATATATATAAATATATATATATATATATCCAGATATATTAATTTTATTTTTATTCTTACCCAGCAGCCACTCCTGCATTATTTGCCATAATTCCAATAGAAGCAGCCAAATTTTGTTCACCATGATCAAACCATGTTATAGCCAATTTTGGCGGTAAACCCAATATAAATACTTGTCCTGAGGCTGCTATAGTCTGGCCTAAAAACAACACCCAAAATCCACGAGGTCCAAATGATCCCAAAAAACGTACAAACGATCCAAGCGAATTTAAAAAGGCCCCAAACAAGAGTCCACCGTGTAAATCCCAAACAGCAAAAATTTTAAGAGATGGCAGTAGCAAGATTGGATACATGATCATATATATTGTTGATAATGAATTGATGTATGATGGTGTTGCTTGTGAATAATGGTGCATAAAAATGTAAAGACAGGGTGCAAATGTTATCCAGAGACAAGCTGAAGAAAACGTTAATAGTGAAAAGCCTAATAACACTATCCAGCGACGACGACTTGTTGTTATATGTTCCTTCTTGATTAGATTTTGTGACAATATTGATGTTCTTCCATTTACTTCATTATTACTGCTGTTGTCAATTGTTGTGATTATTGGTTCAGAACCTTGCTTGTTATTATCGTTATCGTTATCGTTATCATTTTCATTGTTTTGTGGGTATTCATTATATTCCACCGTCATTTTTAAAATAATGTATAAAAATGAGTCACATGCAAAAATTTATTTATTGATAATCTTTACTAAATAGGGATATACATATATATATTAATACATTTATGCTCGGTGATATAATGACAATAAAAATTCAGGGATCAAAAATTACATTATCACCTCATAATTTTCTTGTTGTTTTCTACTTTGTATTTTTAATTGGTAACAATACATTGTAAGAAAGGAATAGTGAAAAATCACTCGGTGTCAGAACTTCCAACATAGTTTGGATTATCCAAACTTTTGTCTTTCACCTCGCAACCTTCTCCCTTGTTGTATCTGTCATTGTTGGTGATTATACTTGCCGCACTGTCAACTTGGCTGACCTTGAAATACTTCTTGAAAATACCTCTTTTGTCACAATTTGCAGTGCACCTCTTTTCTGTGCGCTAGCACTGGACTCCATTATAATTATTATCATCATAATAATAGTTTCTCTCATGGTTACTGGGAGCCTTCTCTTCGAAGTCTATTTTTTTGAACCAAGATCCTTTGTCTTCATTGGTGTTTGCCCTTTTGACAGACAGACATGTCCATTTGATCTTACTTGCAATCATCTGTACAAGCTTTTTACTGGCAAAGAGCTTTCATGCCCCAGAAAAAATAACCTTGCTATTTGTGGCATTGTCATTTTCGGAAAGAAATTTCTCAAAGAAAAAGGTAAGAGATAATTATAGTTTATTAGATAATTACCAAAACAAAGTATTTTTTGTGCAACACTTATAATAGATGGTTTTTAATAAAAAGAGAATTATAGGAAAATGTATTTATTAAAAACTGTTTCACAACTATTCAATGAGATAGACATGCAAAGGTCCAATCATTGGAACAATATCTTGCAGAGAATTTATGGATAGTTGTTGAACTGGAACAGCATGCCGCACATGAATCTGTCCAAGATGATCCCATTGGTATCACAATATAGATTTTTCAAGATAAGTTTTCAACTCTGGAACATTAAATATATTTTCTAAAACTTTTATATGGGGCATACTGCAACAAAATCAGACAAAGTGAACATTGGTATTACCAAGGATTTCAGGGATCAAAATTTAGTCATTTGTAATGTGATCATAATTAACAGTATCCCATATAATAGGGTTGTGTTGATCCGGTCCGGTCTTTAGATGAGACTTTGGTACTGGTTAAAGACCGGGCTTTGGAACTGGTTAAAGATTGTTTAAAGGATTTTGATGTGAATCACATATTACGAAGTAGCTTTTTAGTCAATCTTGATTATCTTACATTTTATGACCAGGTTCGAATTAACTTTTTAGTTACACTCATCAATTATTTTATTTCAGAAATTTATCTGTTTACTACCTAGAAATCTTTGGCAACAAATAACAACGAATTTAATTATTTTTGTTCCTTTTGTTCCACCAAATTTATTAATAAAAATATAAATAAATAAAAATATGGTAGCTCTACCATTAAATCTATATCTAGGATAAGAAAGCAGCAATAATTGTACACCAATCTTCTTTCTATACTACGCTAATTGACTATAAATCACAAATTATCCACCTCATCACGTTTTTTCTGGTCAATTGAATTATGATGGTCATTACGATATTGATGTAAAGTTCTTTGTATTTTGAGTGCAATAATTAATGTATTTGTTCCGATATCTTCATAAAGTAGTAACACCACTAGTTTTTGAAAATTGGCTTCAATAATAATAAAAATGGAGTCCAGTGCTAGCGCACAGAAAAGAGGTGCACTGCAAATTGTGACAAAAGAGGTATTTTCAAGAAGTATTTCAAGGTCAGCCAAGTTGACAGTGCGGCAAGTATAATCACCAACAATGACAGATACAACAAGGGAGAAGGTTGCGAGGTGAAAGACAAAAGTTTGGATAATCCAAACTATGTTGGAAGTTCTGACACCGAGTGATTTTTCACTATTCCTTTCTTACAATGTATTGTTACCAATTAAAAATACAAAGTAGAAAACAACAAGAAAATTATGAGGTGATAATGTAATTTTTGATCCCTGAATTTTTATTGTCATTATATCACCGAGCATAAATGTATTAATATATATATGTATATCCCTATTTAGTAAAGATTATCAATAAATAAATTTTTGCATGTGACTCATTTTTATACATTATTTTAAAAATGACGGTGGAATATAATGAATACCCACAAAACAATGAAAATGATAACGATAACGATAACGATAATAACAAGCAAGGTTCTGAACCAATAATCACAACAATTGACAACAGCAGTAATAATGAAGTAAATGGAAGAACATCAATATTGTCACAAAATCTAATCAAGAAGGAACATATAACAACAAGTCGTCGTCGCTGGATAGTGTTATTAGGCTTTTCACTATTAACGTTTTCTTCAGCTTGTCTCTGGATAACATTTGCACCCTGTCTTTACATTTTTATGCACCATTATTCACAAGCAACACCATCATACATCAATTCATTATCAACAATATATATGATCATGTATCCAATCTTGCTACTGCCATCTCTTAAAATTTTTGCTGTTTGGGATTTACACGGTGGACTCTTGTTTGGGGCCTTTTTAAATTCGCTTGGATCGTTTGTACGTTTTTTGGGATCATTTGGACCTCGTGGATTTTGGGTGTTGTTTTTAGGCCAGACTATAGCAGCCTCAGGACAAGTATTTATATTGGGTTTACCGCCAAAATTGGCTATAACATGGTTTGATCATGGTGAACAAAATTTGGCTGCTTCTATTGGAATTATGGCAAATAATGCAGGAGTGGCTGCTGGGTAAGAATAAAAATAAAATTAATATATCTGGATATATATATATATATATTTATATATATCTAGATAACGAAAGGTAAATAATACTTACGATGAGATAATATATAGTTTCTTAATTTGTTAAAACACTATACTATTTCTATTTTTATTTCTTTCTTTCTTATATTTTTTAGATTTTTGTTGTCTCCATTTATGATTAAAGAGGAAACGGCACAATATGATATTCCAAAATATCTTTTAATACAATGTGGTGTATGTACTTTTATATATCTATTTTTGGTCTTGGTTTTTAGATCTTCACCTTCACATTCATCATCCAACAGGTTTGTTAATTAACGATTATTATTGATTTTATTAATATTTATTTACATATAATAGATGGTTTTTAATAAAAAGAGAATTATAGGAAAATGTATTTATTAAAAACTGTTTCACAACTATTCAATGAGATAGACATGCAAAGGTCCAATCATTGGAACAATATCTTGCAGAGAATTTATGGATAGTTGTTGAACTGGAACAGCATGCCGCACATGAATCTGTCCAAGATGATCCCATTGGTATCACAATATAGATTTTTCAAGATAAGTTTTCAACTCTGGAACATTAAATATATTTTCTAAAACTTTTATATGGGGCATACTGCAACAAAATCAGACAAAGTGAACATTGGTATTACCAAGGATTTCAGGGATCAAAATTTAGTCATTTGTAATGTGATCATAATTAAC